CAGCAGGAAGAGATAAGGATTGGGAGTGTGGGAGAACTTAGATAACTTTAGGAATCTAGAAGAATAGATAGTGCTATGAAGTTGAAAGTGCAGAGGAGGAATAAGGGTTACACTTATGTGCAAATGTATATCTGAGGTGCAAAAGAGACATTCAGGTGGTTATGACTAGTACTAGAGCTCAGAATAAATCAAGGTTAGACATACAGATTTGAGAGCTATCTTCAGAGAGAGGTACTTTACTGGGGAACTACAACAATAACAAAAAATTCCAAGGGCTGTATTGGCACTAGGGCAGGATAAGTAGCGGGGAGTGGTAGTAGGAAAGCAAGACAGTGCCAGAAAAGCCAAGGGAAGCCAGGGTTCAAGGACTGCCCAACAATGTCAACCACAGCACAGGGGCCCTAATTCCTCTCAGAAAACTGTGGCACCCTGTTCCTTAGTACATTTGTAATTAGGCTGTTAAGACTGGATGATACTGGCCTCAGGTCTCTGCTTTGCCAGGGTAATACCCACTCCAGGGCTGGCCCTGGAAAAGGCATCTCTGATCAAAGCCCCCAAACCAGTCCAGGACTCGCCTAATCAGTCTGCACCTTGCAACTGGGCGTGCAACAAAGCCAATCTGAACTCTGGGAATGACAGATTCTTTCCCAAGTCAGTTAATTCTGTTAACAAACATTTCTTCCCAATTTGTTTCTCAATTAATTCGGTATTTGCTCACAGCTTCAAAAAAGCATCAGCAGTGATTATATGTACCGATTTTCTTTACATCTGCCAAGTTCCTCTGTGAGCTGGTTAGTCACAGAAACAACTAATTTCAAGGTATTAAAAAAAAAAAAAAAAACGAAGAACGAAAGCAACTCTTCGATTTTTCTTCAAATACTGAATACCAGGTGTATGGATACAAGGTTAAAACAACTAGATACACTGCCCTAAAGCTGAAAGTATTCTTAAATCAAAAAACCACTCCCATCCCTTTGCCCTAAAGCAAAATCCAAGACTAAAAACCCCCAGGAATTTCAGCTGTCGAGGCAATTAGCCGGTTCTCCCTTCAAGCAGCCTGAGCTGATACCTGGTAATGCATGGGGGCAGGCAGTAGGCCTCAAGACTGCTGCAGCCTAACTTCCTACAGTGATTGCTACCAGATTTCCTCAGCTGAGCTCAAGCTGCATTGAGTAGCACTTTCAAAAGTTAAACACGTTTGCACACATACTCCCCCAAGCCAAGCTGTGCGGCCGCAACACTCGCCTCAAAGTTCCAGACAGCTGCACTAACGCTGGAACTACGCGACAGAGCTGAACAACAATCACACCATAAGCACAGATAACAACTGGCAAAGCACGAGCGTTTGTTAGCAGCACAAAACATGCCACAAAATTCCCCCAAGTTGAAACCCTGCGTGTCCCCCAAACTTACTCAACTTTGAAAAAGGAAAGAAACGGGGGTCAAGGCTGCATTAAGAGCCAGAGAGGCAGAAAACGAAGGTGATGCTGCAAAGAAGGTGCTAGAAGGAGTGACAGCGAGACCCAGAAGAGGGCTGAGGGTGGTCCAGGCGGGTCGAGACTCGGGTCTGAGAGCTGCGCCTCCAAGGGCGACTCGAAACGTCAAGGCCAGGCAGTCCCCACCGCCCTGACCTTTCCCACCCGGGCGAGCGCAGCCGATGAACCTGCCCTAGGCCTCTCGCTCACTCACCTCGACATGAGTCTCCACACCTCCCGCAGTCCCATCGCCAAAACACTCGAGCCTAAAACAACCCCGACCCGGTAGCCCACTCGCTTGGCTCTTCACGCCACACGTCAGACCCGCCCACCGCCGCCCGGCGCCGCCAGACACAGACGGCAAGTCCTCCAGAGGGCTAGAGAGGCCTAGGGCAGGACTCTACCGCGGCGCGTCGCTGAGGGGCGGGGCGAGAGCCACCGACTGAGGAAATGGTTGAGGGAGATGGGAGGGGGAAGGGGCGTGGCCTGGGGAGGGGCGGGGCCGGGGTGCAGGCGGTGGGAGAGGCGGGGCAGGGCTGAAGGAGAGGTCAGAGAGCAGAGGCGGGCTGAACTGGACGGCAGAGTTTGCTCGCTTGGGGCTCTCCTGGGAAAAACCCAAGTGACCTAGCCAGCTTAGTTTGACTAGCAGAGACTGACAGGAAATACTTTTCTGGAATCTTAAGATTTTTTAAAACTAAAAATGTAAACTTGGGACTTCCCACACGCTTTTAAAATTTCATCTGACATCTGCTTTGTATCTCACTACACTCTTTTCTTTTTTTTAAGATAGTATTTTTTTCTTCTTTTTTATTTTTAAAATTAATTAATTAATTTTTTTTTTGGCTGTGCTGTGCGGCTTGCGGGATCTTAGTTCCCCAACCAGGGATCGAACCACTGGAGGACCGCCAGGGAAGTCCCTAAGGTTAGTATTCTATTCTTAGAATCAAGCAGATGAAATACACGTGGTAAGAGGAGGACATTTACTGTAATTTATTCCTAGCCTAACATAGCAGAATTTCTTTCATATTAGGATTGAGTTAATAGTTCCCCAATCTTCCTTAATGACAGACAAGAATTGTCTCCTTAAGAGGTGATATATATGTCTTCAACTAAACTAAAAGTTACTGTTATCAGCAAAAGCATAAAATTGCATCTAGAAAGTAGCCTACTCTTGAATGAAACTAAAATTTAACTCAACCACTAGTATCAACTATTATGTAGATACAGAAGAATGTTCCTCTGCATCCAGATACACCCAGATGTCCAGCAGCAAACATTTCATCACCAATGAACCACTAGTATCAACTATTATGTAGATACAGAAGAATGTTCCTCTGCGTCCAGATACACCCAGATGTCCAGCAGCAAACATTTCATCACCACTGAACCACTGACACATTTATCAGGAAGGAGGAATTCAGGGAAGAATTTCAGAGAGAGGGAATTTAAAGGAGTTAGTCTAAGCAAGTTGACATCTGAGAATATACTGTCAAGCCTTTGGTCAAAAATTACCTTTCTACCTAGTCAAATATACTTATCCAAATGCCCATTGAACAGAGGGCAAACTGGCATCACAGAAAGAACTCCTGACCTACAATTCAGTTTTTAACCTGCTGTGGGAAATCGCTTTTTGACATCACCCTCATTCAGCGTGCACAAAAAATGAACAATCATCAGCATGGTTTACTGGAAAGACCAAGGGCTTTCCTGCAAGCCCAAGATTCAAATCTTCCCTGTCCCCCTAGCTTCATGTGTGTGTAACCTGTGTCTCACAAGACCCCATGCTTAGATGGAATCTGCCTTTGGTTTAATGCTCTGCTTGTAATAAATTTTGAATAAGGGACTCTGCATTTTCATTTTGCACTAAGCCCCACAAATTATGTCGGTCCTGACCTGCCTTTAGCACACTAGTTTAGTGTGCTAGTTTAGTGAATAGTTTAGTGAATTTGGGCAAATTATGTAACCCAGGACCTTTCTCAAAAATGTTTGTATTATTTTGGACTAAGAATTCTAGTTGCAGACAATCCACAGAATGGGAAACAAATTTGCAAATGATATATTTGATAAGGAGACAGTATCTACAATATGTAAAGAACTATTACAACTCAATAATAAAAAATGGCAAATAGCCCTATTTTTTAGATGGACGATGGATTGAAAAGACAGTTCTCCTGGGACTTCCCTGGTGGCGCATTGGGTAAGAATCTGCCTGCCAATGCAGGGGCACAGGTTCAATCCCTGGTCTGGGAAGATCCCACATGCTGCAGAGCAACTAAGCCCCTGCACCACAGCTACCGAAGCCCATGCGCCTAGAGCCTGTGATCCGCAGCAAGAGAAGCCCGTGCACCACAATGAAGAGTAGCCCCCACTCGCCACAACTAGAAAAAGCCCACATGCAGCAACAAAGACCCAACACAGCCAAAAATAAATAAATAAATTTATGAAAAAAAATGACAGTTCTCCAAAGAAGATGTACAAATGATCAATAATCATATGACAAGGTGCTCAACATGCTTGGCCATCAGGGAAGTGCAAATCAAGACCAAGATAAAAAAAATAAAAGATAAAAAATAAAAAATAAAAAAAAAGATAAGATATGACCGCACCTACTAGGATGGCTATCAAAAAGACAGAAAATAACAGGTGTTGGTGGAGAATTTGGAATCCTGAATATACTGCTGGTAGGAATGTAAAATGCTATGGCTATTTCAGAAAAAAAGTCTGACAGTCCCTCAAATGGTTAAACATAGAGTTACCATGAGACCTAGCAATTCCTCTCCTGGATATACACCCAAGAGAAATGAAAACATAATCCACACAAATCTTTATAGGAGCATTATTCATAATCACTAAAAGTTGGCCCATATGTCTAACTGGTGGATTTTTTTAAGTGATATAGCCACACAATAAAATATTATTTGACAATAAAAAGAAATGAACTGCTGATACAAGCTACCACATGGATGAACTTTGAAAACACTGCAAAGTGAAAAGAAGCTAGTCACAATCGACCACATTTTGTATGATTCCATTAATATGAGTGTCTAGAATAAGCAAATGTATAGAGACAGTTTTGTGCTGTCAGTCTTTTTAATTTTATCCTGCTGGTGTGTGTATAGTATTATCTCATTGTGGTTTTCATTTACGTTTCCCTTGTATCTAATGATATTGAGCACTTTTTCATATACTTATTATCTTCTTTTGTAAAGTGGCTGTTCAAATCTCTTGCTCATTTTTAAATCGGGTTATCTTTTTATTCAGGTTTGATAAAATAATTATCAATTGCTGTTACAAATTACCCCAAAGTTTAGCAGCTTAAAACAACAAACATTTCTTATCTCTCTGATTCTGAGACTCAGGAATCAGAGAGAGGCTTAGCTTGGTGGTTCTGGCTTAGAGTCTTTGCTGAGGTTGCACTCAAGGTGTTGGTGGGACGGCGGTCATCTGAATGCTCAACTGGGACAGAAGGACCCAGTTCCAAACTCACTGACAAGCTTGTTGGCAGCCTTCAGTCCCCCGCCATAGGGGCCTCTCCATAGGGCTGCTCACAATATAGCAGCTGGCTTCTTCCAGAGGTAGTGACCCAAAAGAAAGAACCACCAAGATGGAAGCCACCATATCTCTTATAACTTAATCTTGGAAGTGATGTACCATCACTACGGCCTTATTCTGTAGGTCACACATACTACCCCAGTACAGTGTGGGAGGGGACTACACCCACCAGGGTGTGAATACTAGGAGGCAAGGATCATTGAGGGCAGTTTGGAGGCTGGCTACCACTCTTTATTTTTTTTGGCTGCATTGGGTCTTCGTTGCTGCACACGGGCTTTCTCTAGTTGCAGCAAGCGGGGGCTACTCTTCGTTGTGGTGCGCGGGTTTATTGCGGTGGCTTCTCTTTTTGCGGAGCACAGGCTCTAGGGTACTCGGGCTCAGTAGTTGTAGCTCGTGGGCTCTAGAGTGCAGGCTCAGTAGTTGTGGCGTGTGGGCTTTGCTGCTCCACAGCATGTGGGACCTTCCCAGACCAGGGATTGAACCTGTGTCCCCTGCATTGGCACATGGATTCTCAACCACTGTGCCACCAGGAAAGTCCCTGGCTACCACTCTTGAATAGTTTTTTTCTTCTCTCATTGCCAATCAGTCATCGAGGCATACCAATTATTTCTTTGAGACATCTCTCAGATTTGCCCACTCCTCTTAACACCCCGCTGCTACCATTCTAGTACCCACATATAATTCATTCCAGATCTAGCCTCTCTCTTCTCTCTCAACCATCACATCCTTCAATTCACTCTGTATTTTACTGATAACAAATCTTCTAGGATGCCACATTTGACTTTTTATTTAGCTGCTAAAAACTCTCACAGTTGTCTATAACTATATTGTTCAACATCAGACACAAGTGACTATTGAGCACTTCAAATGTGTCTAGTATAACTGAGGAACTGAATTATTTTTAATTTAAATTTAACAACTGAACCAGTACTTTAAAAAAAATTTTTTTTTAAAATATTGATTACATATGAGCCACATCTGGGTGCCCCTTCTTTTCATTGCCCTCTTTCTTTGGTCACATGGAATCTCACACAGACTTGTGGAATGTCTGCTTCTCTCTTGGTACTTTATATAGTCACTGAAGGACTATTATGATCCAGGTGCTATGTTAGGTGTTGGGCCCTGCAGCCTTGGAGGTTACATGGTGCTATGGAAGCACATAGCAGGACCACCTGTCATAGTCTAAGAATCAGAGAAAGCTACTCAGAAGAACTGACTGTTTTAGATATAGGAGAACTCTGCACAGATGAAACAAAACATGACTCCAGCATTCTGATAGTGGCAAGGAGTGACAGGATGGTATCAGATCACAAAGGGTCTATGAAGCTACCTTACGGGTATTTAAGCAGAAACATGACAAAATCAGATTTTAATTCTATCAGTATCACTTTGAAACATGGCCAGTTTGTCTGGCTCCCCACATCCTTTCCTATATCTTTTCTACACCTTCATACTAACTTGACTTTTAAGAGGTTTTGACTTGCCTTGGTTTGTTTGAGCCCAACTCTACTTTGTGACAGCATCTCACAATATCGCTTTTAAATCACTATTTATTTACTTATTCATTTTGCTTTTGTCAAACTTACTAACTGGCCCATCTGTTTCTCATTTTCTGAACTCAGCATAACAATCTGATTAGCCTGGTTTAACTTTTTTGAGCTATAAATGGGTCACCTTGGATCATGAGGCCCTGGGGTTTAACCATCTATTTGGATACTGGGGATGTTTATGAGTTCCAAGATTAGGTGGG